AGACAACAGTGCACAGAAAAATCACACTGACACACACACAGAGAGAGAGAGAGAGAGAGAGAGAGAGAGAGAGAGAGAGAACAGCAAAGACATCAGCTATTGATCTTTTGTTTCTTTCAGTTCTGTATTGAGTACAGTCAGATCTCTCCAGGCAATGTTGCTGCTTTAAGCTTGTTTGTTGTACCCTGACCGTGTGTCTGTACTTTAGAAAAGCTGCCTGTGTACCCAGAGGGTTTCCAAATTTGTCATCCTTACTCCTCAGCCAAGTTTTCAGGTGGATTTTAGATTATCAAATCGATTTTACAGCTGATTGAACTTCTTTCCGGCAATGCTGCCAAACAGGAAATGAGGTCATATCTTAGCAACTGTGTCATTTATTTTGACACCAAACCAAATAATTTGATTATACCAAAAAAAAAAAAAAAAAAAAGTAATTTGACCACTGGGAGGTGCTACAATAAGCAAAAACATGTTTGTTCTTTCAGTCCACAAAGTCACGCTTTTAACATGACCAGATTAAGTTGCCATGGCGACTGAGCCCTGCTGAATCACTTGGACCCCTCTTTGGTGCATGCAGCTATGTTACACTTGAGAATTTTTAGAACAGGTTCAGTAACATCAGTGGCCACTGATGAGGTAAAAATGCCGGTTTCCTTCGAATATTTTGTTGTTTCACTCTTGCCTGATCATGTAGACGAGCAGACTTGCTGTTTCATAACTCCCCAGAGGGTCTTTTATCCATATTTTTTGTTGGTTTTTTGGAATTGCAGTTTTGAGGCTGTTACTGACTGCTGTTGGAAGTTGGGGTTTTTTGTCATATAAAAACTTTTAAAAAGTAGAATTAAGCGTTTCATCATTTATATCAGAAGCCGATATGAAGTTCGTAATGTGTAATGTGAGTTCTCACATTAACACAAAACCTCAGACGTTATCATGATCATCGCATCCATGCTGAGCAGTGTCTTCATTTTAATGGTGACACCTCTGGAAATTACACCTGGTGGCCCCTCTCATAAATGGGCTCGGATGACACTGCGCTCGAATGTACGGGAACAAATACGCCACAATTACTGCCACTGTTGGAGGGTGGTCAAAAGAAAAGTATGTTGCACTGTGATCTCACTGCCCACACATTCCCGTCCTGAATCGGAAAGCTAGTTTCTTGTACTCTCTGTGTGAGTAAGTGTGTTTATGCAACCGTGTGAGAGAGAGAACAAGAGAGAGTGCGTGCCAGACACAGAGACTGTAGTGTTTTCAGTTCGTGCAGCAGATTTTGCTTCGATAATCAGCTGGATTGTTTTGCTCGCCCAACATCTGTCTCAAACACACACAAACACAACCATTATATAGTCATTACTGTCAGGCTGATGCTGTGCAGCCCTCTCTGACATGCTCTTTCTCTCTTATACATCTCCTTCCTCCTTTCTTTGTCTTGTTCCTATCCTCTCCTGTCTTCTCTTCTTCCTCCAGACGGTTTCGATCTTGGAGCAGCGGCTGACGCTGACGGAGGATAAGCTCAAGGAGTGTTTGGAGAACCAAATGGAAATCGGTCTACATCTCCAGAGAAGCGAGGAGGCTTAAAGTTAGCGGTACCAGAGACACATTGATCTGTGGTGTTGGAGGGGGGAAGTGTGGTTGCATCAACACCATACACCGTTGCCATTTGATCACACTGAAAGCGAGGACTGAACCTTAAATGCACACTGAGCCGTCCTGCTGATGTACTGTGTCTGGCTGTGTTGAAAAGAGATATGAGAAGTGAAGGAGTTGAATATTAGAAAAGTTTCAGTACAGCAGTGCTGAGCATGCAGTCGCTTTCCTGCTGACAAAAAGACCCCACTTTACCGCTGTGAGACACTGTGTGCGATTGAGCGTAATGGTTGCCTGTACAGGTGTTGACACTTGTGCACAGTGTGTATGTTTTTACCCAGTCTGTATCGTGCAGGAGGCCATTAGCCACTGGGTTTTTTTCACTGAAAAGTGCATATTTGTGTAACCATCAGTCATATTTGTCATTTTTGAAAGGAAGGATATGGCTCAATGATCCTGTTGCGTTAAGACAGTTACTCAAGACGTTTGTTCTCTGGTAACGTTTACAGAGCCCCCACAGTGCCTTTATTTAGTTTAAGGTGAGAGAATGTTTCCAGCTGACAAGCTTGAGTCCATTTTTATTACTATTCCTATTTTAATTTCACGATGCATCTGGTGATAGTTTGGTTTTGTTTTTTTACTGAAATGACCATTCTTTAGTGCCTCCAGCAAGTACTGAAAGATAACAGGTTGTTGATTTTCATGGTGACTATAAAATGATGCCCTCATATTTTATGTTAAAGTGATGCTGCTTTTTACATTGGTTCTTTTTGTTCTGTCAATAAAACTTTTATACACTGAAAACAGACTTTTAATAAATGTTTTCACTTCTCAAGTGTGGCGTGAAAGCCAAAGTTAGGTGATGAAATATTTCTGGTTCCCTTTTCGTTATAATGAGTACCATTTTTATAGCTTTGTAGAAAAAAAATGTAACAGGCTATTACTAAGAGACTGGTCATTTTCTCGTTGGGTGAGCTAAAGTTATTGCCAGAGAAGTCATGACTTCCCTGTTTTTATTGTGCTGAGCAGAATTGTGAGGATCATGAGCTGTGAGCGGTGTCATCCATTGCTCATGGCGAGTAATTTTCAACCCGTTCTTTGGCACAGTTTGAGCGATGATTAATGTTTTTTAAAAGTATGGGGGTGAATGCTTCTTCCCCGCTTGTGTCCAAAATTCTTCAGTCTCCCCCCCCCCC